GATAGAAGTATCAATGATGAGAGGGAAGTATTGATTGGCTGCCTCCTACTAGTAATTCCTCTGACTGAGGATCAAACCTGCAACCTGGGTATGTGCCATGCCTGGGAATTGAACTGTGTCCTGCTGGTTTATAGGTCGACACTCAACCACTAAGTCACTCTGGCTGGGCTCACCAACATACTTTTAAACAAATGAAAGTACCCACCAAAATGTATACTATGTGATTTTATTCATATGAATTTGAAGAAATGATCATTAGAAACAGGCCATATTAATCACCAGCATATGATTACCTTTTTGGGAGAGGGGATTAGGTTTTGGACAGGGTAGGCAATCCTGGGATCTAGAGGTCTGAGTATGTTACATTTGTGATATGAAAGAGAACATTCTTTTGACAAGTCCTTCACCATTTTCCATAATATTAAGAAATCTCTGGACAGGAAAGCTATATTTTTGGGTCAGTATCATGGAACCGTATACTTTCACTGTGTTCCCAAATATTATTTCATTTATGGTTTCCTACCTTATGGATTCCAGGGACCTCTAAGAGCATTATTTCCCCAGTTTGATACATAGAGACACAAAATTGCTATCAGTTAACAGCAATTTCTAAGATGTGGGAAGTCAGCTCAAAAGACCTTTTAATTTTATGTAACTCTTTAAAAAACATTTATTTTCCTGATCAAATATAAAGCTTTTGCATAATTTCAAAAATATGCTCATTTTCAATGATACTCATGTCTTTTGTTGTGTCGCCTAACATATAAGCTACAGTTTGGAATTTGCGTTCAACACAACTCTATGCTATTCAAAGCTTATCACATCATACAATTAAAGTTGGTTAGTGAAATTATATTTAAATTATGCATCCAAACTGCTACACAGAAGCATGCTATGGGAGTAAAATATGTAAAGGAAAGGGAAATAAAGATATGGAGGAGAATTAAAGAATGAAGACACAGGCAGAGAAAATGGAAAGAACAGACCTGAGGTATCTTAGAGTTTTGGGGTTTGTACCTTATTCTGGGCTTTCTGTATCCCCCCGCCACCCCCCCACCCCATCATCCCTACACTTCTTAGGGCTTTAGTTCACTCTCTAAATGTTTTAAGAAAGCAAAAAGATAACCCATAAATAGAAAGAAAAATATTTTCAATACATATCTCTCTTAAATTATTTGTATCCAAAGAACTCTTACAATTCAAAATAAGACCAAAAATCCAATGATCGTTGTACAATTTAGAGGACTTGAGTAGGCACTTCACTAAAGATGTATGAATGGCTACCAAGGACATTGTCTTAGCCTGTTTTTACTTCTATAACAAAAAGACTGTAGACTGGGTGGCTTATAAACAACATCAATGTATTTCTCATACTTCTGGCACCTGAAAAGTCCAAGGTCAATATTGTGGCTGAATCAGTTTCTGGGAAAGTCCTATTTCCTGTTTTATACACAGCTGTTTTCTCTTCCAGTTTTAACAATTAGGGGAAGTGAGGGAGCTTTCTGAAGTCTCCTTCATAAGGGCACTAATCCTATTCATGAGGGCTCCAGCCTCATAAGCTAATCACCTCCCAAAGGCCTTTTAAACCTATCAAATTTTTAGGTAGCTGACGAGTAAAGAATGAAATTGTGACTTATTGAGATTCTAAATCCACTGCAGCTGCCTGCGTTACCATATCTTACATAAACTCAAGGTCACTGCTTGAAGGAAAGAAAAGCTGAGATAGAT